TTTGAAAAAGTTATTGCCCTATGTTCATTTCAGTATTTGATATTTGTCTGGCAATCTCCTCCTACATTTTTCAATGGATCTCTTTGAAACTTAGTATACATTATCACCATGATATGAAGTGGTGTCTTTCTTAAAAGAATTTTGATTCGACAATTTTTGCAAAAGTTATTGCCATTTGTTCATTTTAGTATTTGATTTTTTTTTGTCCGGAGATTTTCTTCTACATTTTTTATAGCATGTCAGCTAGCCACTCTTAGAATGATGCAGATCTTATTTCAATGTAAGAAAGTATATAACACTATATGGCATTCGACGGCCGTACATATTGTTCCGCCTTGCATTACTCTTGATTCATATTTTGGGGGCAAAAACAGCTTAAGTGAACTTGTTAAATGTTTTGAGCAAGCATTATATTAAAGGTTATAGACAAGTTTGTTTTGTGCAGTGTTAGATCACCACACTGTCGAGTATTACAAGGTTTGTACAGTGTTAGATCACCACACTGTCGAGTATTACAAGGTTTAGGCATTGATATAGACTAGACGTGAACTGCTGAAGTACTATTTCATATTTTAGGGGCCAAAATGGATTATTTTACATCAACTTGGACATTTCATGATGCCATACAACTTTGAAGATTTTGTTTACGTATATATTAATTTCAAATCTCTTCTCTTGTAATAATATATTGTAATATTCAGATATATATAAAACTGTAACTTCACTGTGGACTGTATGGTTACTCACATTGTACATTTACAAAATACAATGACAATGCTAAAAAAAAGTATACTATCTTAGCCACCTGCAACATGTTAAGGTGGCTCCACATATCGTCATCAGCGTCCATTTTCGTGACGTACTTCCGGAAAAAGTACAGCTCGGACTCAATTATCTTGATCGAAATGTGCATCTACACCGTGTCGTCATTTCCGTATTGCGTATCGGGCATTCAATATCGTAGTGCAAATTATAGTAACACCAGGGCCGGTTTCGTTTAAACGGTCAAACCGATCGGACCACTGTTGTTAGTTTATTAAATAAGGTCGGACCTAGTAATCTGATGCTGCTTTCAGGCGAGCCTTGAGAAAGCCTTGCAAGGCCTGCATACATATTTGCAGGTCCGCTTTATACCCGAAATTGCTACATTTATAAACGGTCAAACCAGTTGTTCCACATAAACGAACAGGCCCCTGGTAAACAATAGTACACGTGCGTGCCGATGATATGTCAACACCCGATATCGAGATCTTACCGGGAAATGTATAATCACACGTACTTCAGGAATAAAGCTTTTCAATTCATAGACATAAACAGACTCACGGGAAGACAGTGACATGAGACCAGACGACCTCAAGAAACACATGTAATGCGGACGTACCAACCTCACATGTGCATATCACGTGCTTACACGAGTTCATAAGCTCGAGGTCGTTACGATTTTTGCTGTTGAGGGAGTTTCGCTCTGTCGATTAAATCGTGTTTACAAATGTAATCTACTTACTCTGTGAAAATAATGTTTTGTAAAATATCAAGATACCTATGAAATGCATGTGTGAGTGCACGTGAGAACGGCATACCATGCGATAGCCTCTGGTCACATATGTACCTGACATGTAATTATAAATATACCGTGAGTTAGCGGACTGTGGAATGATGTCCAAAGTGTACATGACTGAGGGTAATTTGGTTCCATTAAAGAACAATAAATTGATAATTTTGATATCATATTTTTGATTTATTTCCATCATTTTTGTTATATGTAAACAGAGACAACTGTCATTGTGTAAATGTCACCCCTCTGCAAAAAGTTCCGATTTTTTTCAAGGAAGATAACTCTCACCCGGATCAAAGTGATTGTAAAATGTAAAATAAATTAATTATAAAGCCATTGTGTATATTTTGTTCAATTTCCCATTCTATATGTATAGATCTTTGTGTCCTGTTTGGTTTTAGCTTGTAGACAATCACTTTTATCCGTACAAATTCAATAAAAAACACTTTGTGTAACATGTGTTACATATTTTGCGATAAACAAAATATTTGTAGGGTTAATTAGAAATGCTTCTTTTCATTTTATTATTGTTGTTATTGTTCCGAACAATGCCACACACACAAAAAAACGGAAAATATTAAAATTGAGGAAAATTCAATTTTTTGGTATTTTTTCCAAAAAAGTCCCCAAACTATCAGAATGTTTAGATTTTCATAAAATCAACTCTAAATAGTTGCATAACCATTATATGAAATTTTCAACGAATTTTGCTGGTTAATTGCGAAAGTGTGGAGCCACCTTAAGATACATGTATTTACTATTACATATTAATATATCATCCAACAGCTCTATTTTTGTAGGATGTAGCATTGCTTGGTACTATAAAGAATGAAAGAAAAGAAAAGAAACATTGCTTATTAACCAAACAATTATTTTGTTTATTGTGTAATAATAAATGAGCTTATCTAAATACTAAAACCAAACAGGACACCTAGTACCATCCAAAAATCAAACTAGAAAATACACAGATACTGTGACCTCATCTTCAATGTACATTTCACAACAATTTTGATCCAGAAGCAATATTTTTTAAGTAATTTGGGATGGAACTTTCATTATAAGAGTTGCCTCCCTTCCAATGTAAAATAATTAAAATGATGAAAAAGAAATTTTAGAATGCTGTGCATGTCTACAGCGTTCACCACTTAAAAATAATCAAATTTCCAGTTAATTTGTTTTCAGTGTCACATATATCAATATAAATAGTAAAACACAAAACTTTACATAAAAAGAAATGAAGGACTTCAACGTTCAAGAGTGTCTTCATTTATGAAATGTTTTTAATCTTAACTAGGTAAACAAACAACACCATAGGACTGCCCCCGTACGTGTAGTATTTCACTATATCTATGTCAGATAATATGTATCCAGAGACTATCATACGGTATGCCATTATGACATCTGTTTGGTTCATTACAAACAATATCTCAGTAACATCTTGACATCATGTTGTTGACACATCATTACTATACCAGTTTTCTAAAGATTGTACAAAGGGTGGGACTGACCTCCCGAGGGGACGAAAAACGGGTGATTCAGCCATATTGATTGAAATAACTTCTTTTCTAAAACTCTCTGGTAGATATTGACCATATTTGGTTGGAGGCATCCTCAAGTGGTGGGTATTCACAACAGTGACAATGAAGAGCTACATGTATAACAAAAAAGATTTTTTTTATAATGATCACTGTTTGTATATACATTTCCCATGTATATCACTGTTTGTGTATACATTTCCCATGTATATCACTGTTTGTACATACATTTCCCATGTACATCACTGTTTGTATATACATTTCCCATGTACATCACTGTTTGTGTATACATTTCCCATGTATATCACTGTTTGTACATACATTTCCCATGTATATCACTGTTTGTACATACATTTCCCATGTACATCACTGTTTGTATATACATTTCCCATGTACATCACTGTTTGTGTATACATTTCCCATGTATATCACTGTTTGTACATACATTTCCCATGTATATCACTGTTTGTATATACATTTCCCATGTATATCACTGTTTGTATATACATTTCCCATGTATATCACTGTTTGTATATACATTTCCCATGTATATCACTGTTTGTATATACATTTCCCATGTATATCACTGTTTGTATATACATTTCCCATGTATATCACTGTTTGTATATACATTTCCCATGTATATCACTGTTTGTATATACATTTCCCATGTATATCACTGTTTGTATATACATTTCCCATGTATATCACTGTTTGTATATACATTTCCCATGTATATCACTGTTTGTATATACATTTCCCATGTATATCACTGTTTGTATATACATTTCCCATGTATATCACTGTTTGTATATACATTTCCCATGTATATCACTGTTTGTATATACATTTCCCATGTATATCACTGTTTGTATATACATTTCCCATGTATATCACTGTTTGTATATACATTTCCCATGTATATCACTGTTTGTATATACATTTCCCATGTACATCACTGTTTGTATATACATTTCCCATGTACATCACTGTTTGTATATACATTTCCCATGTATATCACTGTTTGTATATACATTTCCCATGTATATCACTGTTTGTATATACATTTCCCATGTACATCACTGTTTGTATATACATTTCCCATGTACATCACTGTTTGTATATACATTTCCCATGTATATCACTGTTTGTATATACATTTCCCATGTATATCACTGTTTGTATATACATTTCCCATGTACATCACTGTTTGTATATACATTTCCCATGTACATCACTGTTTGTATATACATTTCCCATGTATATCACTGTTTGTATATACATTTCCCATGTATATCACTGTTTGTATATACATTTCCCATGTACATCACTGTTTGTATATACATTTCCCATGTACATCACTGTTTGTATATACATTTCCCATGTATATCACTGTTTGTATATACATTTCCCATGTATATCACTGTTTGTATATACATTTCCCATGTACATCACTGTTTGTATATACATTTCCCATGTACATCACTGTTTGTATATACATTTCCCATGTATATCACTGTTTGTATATACATTTCCCATGTATATCACTGTTTGTATATACATTTCCCATGTACATCACTGTTTGTATATACATTTCCCATGTACATCACTGTTTGTATATACATTTCCCATGTATATCACTGTTTGTATATACATTTCCCATGTATATCACTGTTTGTATATACATTTCCCATGTACATCACTGTTTGTATATACATTTCCCATGTACATCACTGTTTGTATATACATTTCCCATGTATATCACTGTTTGTACATACATTTCCCATGTACATCACTGTTTGTACATACATTTCCCATGTACATCACTGTTTGTATATACATTTCCCATGTACATCACTGTTTGTACATACATTTCCCATGTATATTACTGTTTGTATATACATTTCCCACATGTGTCATTTTTTGTATAAAAAAAATCCATGTACATCACAGTTTTGCACATTTTAAACATATATCAATATATGAGCATTATCAATATCTATCATTTAAATTTCACTAATATTTCCTACATATAATGTATGTTTCTACATTTCCACACCATTTGTACATTTCCTTATCTTTATTAAAGTCGTAAGAAACAAAAGGTCAGGCTACTTTAACTAGTAGTGCGACTGTAGTCTAGTTCCATAGGGTGTATTTAGCACTCTGATTTCTTTCGGTGATTATCCATGGGGAGATAATCCTCATCAACATTTTCCTTGGAAAGAGGATGGTCGTGGCTGTAGATGGGGACATGAAACAGTTCTCTTCCAGCCTCCTGGTTCATTGTCTTACTATTTTCTGTGTTGACATAGGTATGTTTTTTATGTTGGTCTGTCTTTGATTTCTTTTGGTGATTATCCATGGGGAGATAATCCTCATCAACATTTTCCTTGGAAAGAGGATGGTCGTGGCTGTTGATGGGGACAGGAAACATGTCTCTACCAGCCTCCTGGTTCATTGTCTCATTATTTTCTGTGTTGACATTGTTATGTTTTTTATGTTGGTTTGTCTTTGATTTCTTTTTTTTATGCCATGATTTTGTTTTTGTGTTGATTTGTTCCGTTGATTGGAACCTCAGGCTTTCATCTTCATTATCATTTTGTGGATTTAACTGCCAGTCTTCCTTGTCTGTTTTTCGAGATTTTGTTTGCCGACAATAGGTGGTGGGTATCCTATCCACTTCAAACCTGTATCTGAATATAACAAAAAAAGAATTTACCAAAACTATTTTCCAAAATGATATGATGAATTTTACTGTTAAGATACATCTTATGTGACTCTTAAAGGTAATGTTACAGCTAATGCAGCACTGGACTTGGTCAATGGTTGGCAACCAGGAAGCTGAATTGATAGAGTACATGTGTCTGTCTAGATCCCAGTCTGGTCATGTGTCTGTCTATATCCCAATCTGGTCATGTGTCTGTCTAGATCCCAGTCTGGTCATGTGTCTGTCTAGATCCTAAACTGGTCATGTGTCTGTCTAGATCCCAGTCTGGTCATGTGTCTGTCTAGATCCCAGTCTGGTCATGTGTCTGTCTAGATCCCAGTCTGGTCATGTGTCTGTCTAGATCCCAGTCTGGTCATGTGTCTGTCTAGATCCCAGTCTGGTCATGTGTCTGTCTAGATCCCAGTCTGGTCATGTGTCTGTCTAGATCCCAGTCTGGTCATGTGTCTGTCTAGATCCCAGTCTGGTCATGTGTCTGTCTAGATCCCAGTCTAGTTATGTGTCTGTCTAGATCCCAGTCTGGTCATGTGTCTGTCTAGATCCCAGTCTGGTCATGTGTCTGTCTAGATCCCAGTCTGGTCATGTGTCTGTCTAGATCCCAGTCTGGTCATGTGTCTGTCTAGATCCCAGTCTGGTCATGTGTCTGTCTAGATCCCAGTCTGGTCATGTGTCTGTCTAGATCCCAGTCTGGTCATGTGTCTGTCTAGATCCCAGTCTGGTCATGTGTCTGTCTAGATCCCAGTCTAGTTATGTGTCTGTCTAGATCCCAGTCTGGTCATGTGTCTGTCTAGATCCCAGTCTGGTCATGTGTCTGTCTAGATCCCAGTCTGGTCATGTGTCTGTCTAGATCCCAGTCTGGTCATGTGTCTGTCTAGATCCCAGTCTGGTCATGTGTCTGTCTAGATCCCAGTCTGGTCATGTGTCTGTCTAGATCCCAGTCTGGTCATGTGTCTGTCTAGATCCCAGTCTGGTCATGTGTCTGTCTAGATCCCAGTCTGGTCATGTGTCTGTCTAGATCCCAGTCTGGTCATGTGTCTGTCTAGATCCCAGTCTGGTCATGTGTCTGTCTAGATCCTAGTCTGGTCATGTGTCTGTCTAGATCCCAGTCTGGTCATGTGTCTGTCTAGATCCCAGTCTGGTCATGTGTCTGTCTAGATCCCAGTCTGGTCATGTGTCTGTCTAGATCCCAGTCTGGTCATGTGTCTGTCTAGATCCCAGTCTGGTCATGTGTCTGTCTAGATCCCAGTCTGGTCATGTGTCTGTCTAGATCCCAGTCTGGTCATGTGTCTGTCTAGATCCCAGTCTGGTCATGTGTCTGTCTAGATCCCAGTCTGGTCATGTGTCTGTCTAGATCCCAGTCTGGTCATGTGTCTGTCTAGATCCCAGTCTGGTCATGTGTCTGTCTAGATCCTAAACTGGTCATGTGTCTGTCTAGATCCCAGTCTGGTCATGTGTCTGTCTAGATCCCAGTCTGGTCATGTGTCTGTCTAGATCCCAGTCTGGTCATGTGTCTGTCTAGATCCCAGTCTGGTCATGTGTCTGTCTAGATCCCAGTCTGGTCATGTGTCTGTCTAGATCCCAGTCTGGTCATGTGTCTGTCTAGATCCCAGTCTGGTCATGTGTCTGTCTAGATCCCAGTCTGGTCATGTGTCTGTCTAGATCCCAGTCTAGTTATGTGTCTGTCTAGATCCCAGTCTGGTCATGTGTCTGTCTAGATCCCAGTCTGGTCATGTGTCTGTCTAGATCCCAGTCTGGTCATGTGTCTGTCTAGATCCCAGTCTGGTCATGTGTCTGTCTAGATCCCAGTCTGGTCATGTGTCTGTCTAGATCCCAGTCTGGTCATGTGTCTGTCTAGATCCCAGTCTGGTCATGTGTCTGTCTAGATCCCAGTCTGGTCATGTGTCTGTCTAGATCCCAGTCTGGTCATGTGTCTGTCTAGATCCCAGTCTGGTCATGTGTCTGTCTAGATCCCAGTCTGGTCATGTGTCTGTCTAGATCCTAGTCTGGTCATGTGTCTGTCTAGATCCCAGTCTGGTCATGTGTCTGTCTAGATCCCAGTCTGGTCATGTGTCTGTCTAGATCCCAGTCTGGTCATGTGTCTGTCTAGATCCCAGTCTGGTCATGTGTCTGTCTAGATCCCAGTCTGGTCATGTGTCTGTCTAGATCCCAGTCTGGTCATGTGTCTGTCTAGATCCCAGTCTGGTCATGTGTCTGTCTAGATCCCAGTCTGGTCATGTGTCTGTCTAGATCCCAGTCTAGTTATGTGTCTGTCTAGATCCCAGTCTGGTCATGTGTCTGTCTAGATCCCAGTCTGGTCATGTGTCTGTCTAGATCCCAGTCTGGTCATGTGTCTGTCTAGATCCCAGTCTGGTCATGTGTCTGTCTAGATCCCAGTCTGGTCATGTGTCTGTCTAGATCCCAGTCTGGTCATGTGTCTGTCTAGATCCCAGTCTGGTCATGTGTCTGTCTAGATCCCAGTCTGGTCATGTGTCTGTCTAGATCCCAGTCTAGTTATGTGTCTGTCTAGATCCCAGTCTGGTCATGTGTCTGTCTAGATCCCAGTCTGGTCATGTGTCTGTCTAGATCCCAGTCTGGTCATGTGTCTGTCTAGATCCCAGTCTGGTCATGTGTCTGTCTAGATCCCAGTCTGGTCATGTGTCTGTCTAGATCCCAGTCTGGTCATGTGTCTGTCTAGATCCCAGTCTGGTCATGTGTCTGTCTAGATCCCAGTCTGGTCATGTGTCTGTCTAGATCCTAAACTGGTCATGTGTCTGTCTAGATCCCAGTCTGGTCATGCGTCTGTCTAGATCCCAGTCTGGTCATGTGTCTGTCTAGATCCCAGTCTAGTTATGTGTCTGTCTAGATCCCAGTCTGGTCATGTGTCTGTCTAGATCCCAGTCTGGTCATGTGTCTGTCTAGATCCCAGTCTGGTCATGTGTCTGTCTAGATCCCAGTCTGGTCATGTGTCTGTCTAGATCCCAGTCTGGTCATGTGTCTGTCTAGATCCCAGTCTGGTCATGTGTCTGTCTAGATCCCAGTCTGGTCATGTGTCTGTCTAGATCCCAGTCTGGTCATGTGTCTGTCTAGATCCTAAACTGGTCATGTGTCTGTCTAGATCCCAGTCTGGTCATGTGTCTGTCTAGATCCCAGTCTGGTCATGTGTCTGTCTAGATCCCAGTCTGGTCATGTGTCTGTCTAGATCCCAGTCTGGTCATGTGTCTGTCTAGATCCCAGTCTGGTCATGTGTCTGTCTAGATCCCAGTCTGGTCATGTGTCTGTCTAGATCCCAGTCTGGTCATGTGTCTGTCTAGATCCCAGTCTGGTCATGTGTCTGTCTAGATCCCAGTCTAGTTATGTGTCTGTCTAGATCCCAGTCTGGTCATGTGTCTGTCTAGATCCCAGTCTGGTCATGTGTCTGTCTAGATCCCAGTCTGGTCATGTGTCTGTCTAGATCCCAGTCTGGTCATGTGTCTGTCTAGATCCCAGTCTGGTCATGTGTCTGTCTAGATCCCAGTCTGGTCATGTGTCTGTCTAGATCCCAGTCTGGTCATGTGTCTGTCTAGATCCCAGTCTGGTCATGTGTCTGTCTAGATCCCAGTCTGGTCATGTGTCTGTCTAGATCCCAGTCTGGTCATGTGTCTGTCTAGATCCCAGTCTGGTCATGTGTCTGTCTAGATCCCAGTCTGGTCATGTGTCTGTCTAGATCCCAGTCTGGTCATGTGTCTGTCTAGATCCCAGTCTGGTCATGTGTCTGTCTAGATCCCAGTATGGTCATGTGTCTGTCTAGATCCTAGTCTGGTCATGTGTCTGTCTAGATCCCAGTCTGGTCATGTGTCTGTCTAGATCCCAGTATGGTCATGTGTCTGTCTAGATCCCAGTATGGTCATGTGTCTGTCTAGATCCCAGTCTGGCCATGTGTCTGTCTAGATCCCAGTCTGGTCCTGTGTCTGTCTAGATCCCAGTCTGGCAATGTGTCTGTCTAGATCCCAGTCTGGTCATGTGTCTGTCAAGATCCCAGTCTGGCCATGTGTCTGTCTAGATCCCAGTATGGTCATGTGATTGTCGAAATCCTAGTCTGGTCATGTGTCTGTCTAGATCCCAGTATGGTCATGTGTCTGTCTAGATCCCAGTATGGTCATGTGTCTGTCTAGATCCCAGTCTGCCCATGTGTCTGTCTAGATCCCAGTCTGGCCATGTGTCGTTCTAGATCCCAGTCTGGCCATGTATCGGTCTTGATCCTAGTTTGGCCATGTGTCTGTCAAGATCCCAGTCTGGCCATGTGTCAGTCTTGATCCCAGTCTGGCCATGTATCGGTCTAGATCCTAGTTTGGCCATGTGTCTGTCAAGATCCTAGTCTCGTTATGCATTTGTTTTCTCCTGTTACACACCCATATAGGATAACAAAGCACCTCCTTCCAACCATAATGTTTAATTAGTTACATGTACCTTCGGCATTTGTAGAATAGACACACTGCTTGCACCAGGTTTGTGAGGGCCAGGATCACTGTAAACAAACAGGATTCATATGAAAAACATATGAGTCACTTTATAGAAAATGAATATATTATTTACGTAAAATAATCTATGTATTTCAGCTCACCTGGCCAAAGGTCACAAAGCTATGGTCATGTCGAAAAAAGCAGTTTGCAATATAAAGTTACTTGTTTTGGTAGTGTTACTCTTAATAAGTGGAGATATTTAAAACTTATTTCTCCATTTCCACCTGGTTGCTTTCGTCAACATTTTAATCAAATGTTCTATGTATATACATGGCCCTGACCAACTGCTGCTATCCTTTTTAGCTCACCTGGCACTTCGTGCTAAGTGAGCTTATGCCGTGGCTTCCGGCGTCCGGCAGGCGTCAATATTTTACTTTAAACGGCTTTATCTTAATAACCGAGAGGCCTAGGGTGATGATATTTGGCCAGAAGCAAACTGGGATGAAGGATAAAATTAATGACCTTCACCCATTTTCAAGGTCACAGGGGTCAAATATGTTAAAAACTTTAAACATCTTCTTCTCCATAACCAAACTGCCCAGGGAGATGATATTTGCCCAGTAACATGCTTGGATAAAGGGCTACCAAGTTTGTTCAAATGAATGACCTTCAATTATATTCAAGGTCACAGGGGTCAAATATGTTTGAAACCTTTAAACAACTTCTTCTCAATAACCAAGAGGCCTAGGATGATGCTATTTGACCAGTAGCATGCTGTAATAGAGGGCTACATAGTTTGTTCAAATGAATGACCTTGACTTATATTCAAGGTCACAGGAGTCAAATATGTCTAAAACCTTTAAACAACTTCTTCTGAATAACCAAGAAGTCTAGGATAATGATATTTGGCCAGTAACATGCTGGGATAAAGGGCTACCAAGTTTGTTCAAACTAATGACCTTCATCTATTTTCAAGGTCACAGGGGTCAAAT